TTTATATTATGATTAAATTGATCAATTATTATGGTTTTTATGTGAAATCCACATATTTTCTAATTATGATCTTGTGATGTGGGTTTGTTGATGAAAAAGGATGTTATGAAATTATGCTTCGTAGTAATTTGGTTACTTGAATTATGTTAATATACATGTCTAAATAGTGAATTCTAGATGTGTTGATTCAATATGATCTTTGATCCTTGAAAGGCAAATTATGATATTATGTATGATTTATGAAGTTTAGTATATGCTTAAGAAAACTATGAGAGTAAAGTGAATATGATTATTATCTAGTGGTTGTGTTGTTCAGAGGTTATTCTCATATACACACTTATGCATGAATATAACATGGTATGAAAGGTTTTTTCTCACTATATGATTATTCTAAGGTTAAAATACTTTTTCACCTATTGAATCGATATGAAGACATGGACGGTAAAAGTTTATTTTCACACATGATCTAATGAGATATCTTATGAATTCTGTTGGATTAAGTGTCAAGACATTCCTCAATGAATATAAATTTAAGTCAAGACTTAATATGTCCTCCGTGGAAATAATGCTTAGCACGGAGTGGATAGTGACAACGAGATGCTCTCCTCTAGTAGAGGCCGAGTTTCTAGAAAAGGTCTCATGAGATTGAAGCTCTCCCGTTAGTAGAAGTCGGATTTCTAGTAGCTATCTCATTATCCCATAAACTATGTGTCCTCTTAGATATTTATCTAGTGTATCCACATAATTAAGCAAAGTGTATGGTTCTACCTTAGGCAAGTAGGACAACCTCTTTCAGTGTGGGTTAAACACCGAATTCCATATTAACTCACATAGTCTATGTCCGTTAAGGATAAATCCCACTATGACAATAAGAATATGAAATATGAATTATCATTACTCAAGAAGACTTACTTAGCATGGGTGAGATTATGAGGTCTTCTTCATACATAACACAAGTATGCTTTGAGGGTATTTATGCTATGTTTCTCTTATTTTATGATGATCTATATGTTGGCTATGCTTATGACTTATGCTTTTCCACTATCTTCATGATGATGTTCAAACTTAGTAAATTACATGCATTCAAACAAAATGTCTCGTTTAGCATGTTTTTAATGTTTTATGCATGACTATCGTACTTAGTGCATTTTTGTACTAATACCTAATTTTCCTACATTTCCCACAAGTATAGGGTCTAGTTCTTAAGGTGGTCAGCATTGTGGCTAAGAGCTTCGATTTCCTTATTTTTTAAGCTTGTTGGTGAGTCCTCATGATTCGAGGGCAGATGTTAATTCTTTGTAGTTCATTTCTTGCATTTCCTTTTTAGACTATGTTGTATTGGATGTGCCCCTTTTTCTTATTCGAATATTGTAGTAGATGACTATGTTGAGACTTAGAATCTAGACTTCCACTTTTCTTCAAATGAAAATTTCATATTTGAAATGAATTTTCACTCTTATTGTTCTATTTCTTATATTATGATATTCTAAGTGGCTTACATGGAGCCTTTCAGGGTTCTATGTGCCTTATTACATCTACAGGGTACCCTGGTCATGACAAAATGAGCTTGGCCATACTACACTCTTTGACCACCATATCGGATAAACCCATCACAAATTGAGGAGGAGAAACTCAAGGAAAAAAATAGGGAGGTGAAAAGAGCTAGGACCGGTGATGAGAACTTCTCCAATACTAAATCTGATGGGCAAGGTCGACCAAGGTTAAACAAAGGTTTTCCAACCAAGGTTCCTCTAGTTCTCCACGGGTCAACAATGATATGGTTTCCAACCCTAAACCTCAAGGAGGCAATATTAGTGGTTCTTATGTGGCTAGGCCTACTTGTGCAAAATAGGGAAGAAAACATGATGGTAAGTGCCTAAATGGCACTGATGGATGTTTTAGTTGCGTGAAGAGTGGACACAAAATTAGAGATTTTCCAACACTTGCGGCTAAAGGGTGAGAGGACAAGTGAGCTAAAGGAAGAGAGGACAAATAAGCTCCTCAAATCGGTTCAAACTCCAATGCGTCAAAGCAAAATTGTGTTTATTCTCTTCAATCCCTAGGTGATCAAAAGAGCTCTCTAAATGGTGTCACCGGCATGTTAAAAGTTTTTCTTATTGATGTGTATGCCTTGTTAGATCCCGGTGCGACTTTGTCCTTTGTCATTGGCCATGAAGTTTGATATACTCCCTGAAGTGTTGATAGAATGTTTTTAGGTCTCTACCCCGGTTGGTGACTCGGTGGTGGCTAAGAGAGTCTATAGGAGATGTCCCGTTTTACTGTCCGATAAAGTTACTTTGGTGGATTTGGTGGAGTTAGACATGTTAGACTTTGATGTGATTTTGAGTATGAATTTTTTGCATGCATGTTATTCCTCTATCAATTGTAGGACTCGTGTGGTTAGATTCTAATTTCCAAATGAGCCTATCTTAGAGTGGAAAAGGGGAAATTCGATGCCTAGGGGTCAATTTGTCTCTTGTCTTAAAGCTAGGAAGATGATCTCAAAAGGGTATATTTACCATTTCATCGGGTGAGGGATGTTAATTCTGAAATCGCTTCTCTATAGTCGGTTCCGATAGTGAACGAGTTCCTGGAAGTTTTCCTTGATGATTTTCCTTGTATTTTGCCCGAGCGGGAAATAGATTTTGGCATTGATCTTTTACCGGATACGGAACCTATTTTAATCCCTCCTTAAATAATGTCTCCGGCGGAGTTAAAAGAGTTGAAGGAGCAACTAAAAGATTTGCTAGATAAGGATTTCATCTGACCGAGTATTTAAGTGTAAATATTGTTTGAGTGTTCAAATATATGTGAATGTTTTTGTAAACACCATAGAGTAGTTTAAACAACATGCAAATGTTTATATTTTATTATTTCTTTATATAATAAACACTCACTCTTACTAGAAATAACTATACATTGTTTATTAACATTTCAGAAAAATTAGATATTTAGATCACAAGAAAATGAAGAAGCTAAAAATGTTACCTTAAATCAGGGGCGGAGCTACAGTAGCCAATGGGGGTTCCGTCGAACCCACTGGCTTTTCTTAAATTTTATATTTGTATTATATTATGAAGTAGAATATATATAGATACTTCCTGCGATCCCATAGTAACACTGAGGCGTTTGGTCTAGTGGTCACTGTTTACACCCAATTTTGACCGACCTTTGACCATTTTTAGGAATACTATTAGATTAAATACGTATTTTAAATTTTATATTTTTAGTCGACTTTGCTTGAAAATTATATATTTTAGTATGTTCTACTTTATAAAATTATCGTCGATATTTTTAAAATATTTTAAAATTATTAATGAATTTCAAATGTTTAAAATTTAATTAATTTTTACACTTTCCTTAAAATTATTTAAATTTTAGCCTATTCTATTCCAATTTCTTTCAATTCTAGCCACTCCAATTAAAATTTTATTACAATCATAGCCTCTCTTTCATTCCAATTCTAGCCAAATGTTATTGCAATTTTAGCCACTCTATTTCTTTGTCAATCTAATTTCAAGAAATCATCCATTTGATCTCATCCGTCTATTTAAAATTAATTAAATTCTAGATCAAATCCTAACCCTCCATCTCTATCTAATCTAATGGTTGAGATCATCCTTTTCACTCTCTTTTAACACCAAAAGTCCCAAAACCTAAAAAATTTTCTCCCTCCCTCTCCTTGGCAGCATCAGCCGCCAGCCTTCTCTTCTCCCTCCCTCAGATCAGCCGCCTCTCTCTCTCCCAACACCACCAACCCACCGTCGCCGGCAGCCTCTCTCTCCCTTTCGTTTTCCTCCCTTTTCCGACCAGCCGCCACCCCTCTTCTTCCCTCTCCTCTCCTCCCCCCTTCTTCTCTTTTTCTCCTAGCAGCAACAGCGACCACCGACGACAGCCACCAGACGCAGCAGCGACCGCCGGTGAAACCAGGAGCAGCAGCAACAAAACTCCAGCGGCGGACAGCAGTTCCAGCCACCAGTCGCCCAGAGCCAACAGCCGCTGGCAGCTGTTCCTCTCCCCTTCTCCTGTCGTTCCTCCCCTCCTTCGTCTTTCTCCCCTTTCCCGTCGTCCCCCTTCTCCCTCTTTCTCTCCTCTTCCCCTCTCTCCCCTTTCCGTCTCTCCTCTTCCCTTTCCTTTTCTCTTTGCAGGTAGTAGCAGCCGGCGACAGCCACCACGCAGCAGCAGCCAGGCGAGGCACCGGCGACGACAACAACTCCCACCAGCAGTTTCGGACAGCGAGATGACGAGCTCGATGAATTTGAAAACAGTTTTGACGGATTTTTTCTTTACAAATCCGTCCAGGTCTGCTCTCTTTTGACTAAAATCGCTGTTATTTTAATTTAATTTTTGGTGTGGCTGAATTTTCAATGCTTTGCTTGTCGCATGTTAAAAATTATGTGAAATCACTATCTTGAACAATTATATTGTTAATAATCTGTGATTTTTTTTTATTTATTTCTTTGATCCATATAAATGCGCTCTTGTGTTATATGCTTTAGTTCCTAGCATCCTTTGAGGTTTTCTACTTATTTCGAAATTTTAGTTTTTGACTCAATATTTGGCTTTCATAACCTGTCCGCAATATGTTTAATCCCTCCGTTTTCATTAATATTGGATTTGATCAATTGTTACTTGTTTGTCTATGACAACCTTATTTATCTTCCTTGTGTTATTTTGTAGAATAATATTAGTTATTTTAAAAATCTTTTTGGCTCATTGGAAGTAAAAATATTTAAGTGATTTCTTAATAATTCTTTTCCTTTTATTCTGTCAATTTGTGTATTACTAATATATTGAATATCCTTATTTGATTTGTTTGGGTAATAAGACTTTAAACTGATTCGTATATGGTAAAAAGATTTTTGGCTCTTCTTTATTTAAGGAAAATATATTACTCTTCTTATTTTATTTTTCTTACTTGTTTATATTTGGTAATGAAATATATTAATATTTTCTGATTTGGATATCCTTTAAAATAAGGAAAATTGTATTATAATTGATTCCTTGAAATATTAATTTCCCTTATTTGTTCCCCCCTCCTCCACTATATAAAGAGACTCCTTTTATACATTCACACATTCATTCACTCTCAATCACAAAACTCTCTCATCATTCTCCCTTCTCTCATTTGCTCTCTTGCTACTTAACAAAACATTAATATTTCGGTAATTATTCAAGGGTTCTTCTTTGCTATCTTATTACTTTGTTCCAGTAAAGGTTGAATCAATTCGTTTTGCTTAACGGGTTAGTATTCTTAACATTCACACTATCTTTACATTCACAATTTGTGTAAGCTATTGTTTTGTATGTAGAATTCGTCATTAAACGATTGCATATTGTCTCACCTTAACTAACAAGTGTGATTACTTGTGTAGTTATCTAATTACTTTGACAGGTTTCATATTTGAAGTTCAAGTTGAAGATTAACTGAAGAAGGATTTATTTATTTGTTTGAATGTATATATATATCTATATATTTTTATTTTTTCGCTATTTTATTTATCCGAATGATGTAACAATTGTAACCCTAAAGATCATATAATAAATTTATTTGGGGGTCGTCTAGGGGAGGGGGATTTATATGCTTATTTGTTCATTATATTTTTTAGAAATCATGCCTATAAGTTTGTCTTTAACCACCTAGATTTAATGTTTATAGGTGTTATAATCTAATCAATTTTCAATTTTCTTGACACTTTTGTTAATAAAGTCTAAAATAATAAACTAGATTCCGTTAATGTTAAAAGCAAATCATAGTAATAGGCCGATTAGGTGTTTTAATAATGTTATAATTTTAGCATCATATTGTCATGTAGAAACCATGTCTAAGGTTTAATTTGTTCATATCATTTACAAAATCATGCATATATATGTTACATTTTTTTATTTTTTTTAAACACCTAGAAATCATGTCTATAGGTTTGTAAATAAATTTTTTTAACAAAATTTGTTTGTGCATATTTGTGCCCTCCCCTTAAAATTAGTTAATATCATTAGAAATCCTATCTGTCCTCTTGAAGATTTCCGCATTCATTATGCAACTTTTTTTATTAGAGTCATTTTATGCATCTAGCAAGTTACTTAGTTTAAAAATATTTCATATCAAAACCTTGCAACATAATTCAATCTTTCTTTAAATTTTGGATTGATTATGACTCTGCTTATTTCTGAAATAAATTATAAAGTACTATCTTCTAACCTATCGTTAGTGGGAAAGTCAAAGGAACTACGAGGTCTAGTTCCAATTTTTTAAACCCGACGCATCCCCGGAAGTACCACCTACCCATGAATTTCAAAAAGAATTATGTGCATTTATATGTAAATGTTTATGTGCCTACGTGTGAACTAAATCTTTTAAATCATTTTTCAAAACATAACTATTTTTAGACTGACCTCAAATCAAAATTGTTTCTATGGTGGAGGAGCGCGATCAATAATATCGTGGCATCATCCCTATAAAGAAACAAACATTTTTTTAAAAATAAAAATTCATATTCAAAAACTTGCTCAATTTTCAAAACCTTACTTTCTCACATATTAATTGTTTAATATTTATAAATTTTGTTTATAACTTAGTCTCATGCTTAAATATAAATAAAACTTTCTTTTTCTTTTATTTATTGTCATCACCTAGCCTTGCATGCTTAAATTAATAGTATTAATTGTTTTATATTTGTTATCACTTAGTAAGATTAAATAAATTAATAAATTAAACGACCTTGATTGCTACTTGTACCCCCACATAGATTGCATGAGATACGGCCGGGACCCACACTTGTGGACCTCGAGGGATGCCTAACACCTTCCCCTCGAGGTAATTTGAACCCTTACCCTAATCTCTGGTCCATTGACCTTAGTTAGACTTAGTTAGGTTAGATAGGTGCCCTAACGCGCCTTAATTCGTTAGGTGGCGACTCCAAAACTCAAAAATACCAAAAGAGTTGTTAGGTCGTGCACAAAACCCGTTTTCCGCGAAAATGGGGTGCGACAGAATGGCGACTCCGCTGGGGATATTAGGTTCTTACCATTACGTGTTAATTGCTTATTTATGTGGGGTTTATTTTATTCATTAGGTGCTTACCATGTTTAACTTATTTTGTTGCCCTATTTATTGTCTCCTCTTCATGTCCCTCCCTTTCCGTTTTCCTTAATTGTTTATTATCATGTTTCACCTCCTCCCTTTCCCCTTATTTGTTTACATGTTTAATCTCGTATCCTCTTGCTTTATTTGCGTAGTTTTCATATCTTTATATGTCTACTTTCCTTTATTTATGCTTATTTATTTATTGTTTATAAACTGCCTATATGTTACCATTTTCCAATTTAAATGCTAAATGTTTACTGCTTTAATAATTGGCATCCCGCTCATACTTTCCTCAATTGGGACTCTCTTTCTTTTTATTTTATTCTCGTGATGTTGTGCCTTTGCACCTCTCACAACTACTCCATCTTATTCAAATACCCATTATAGAGAGTCGGCATATGCGTGGACGTAGTGGATAGTTTTACTACCGCGAAGCCACGAGCCTCTCGCATAGAATCCCTTTCAAGTCCGTGTCAAACCACTCTTAGAAGTCCTGGTTAAGTCATACATGCTGCATAAGCCCTAGGAGGTTTGACCCTTGGTGTCAATCCATGTAATTAGTAGCCACCCTCTCGTCTAAAGGGCCCCAACACTCTTAGACAAATTGCATATTTATGTGTCAACGTGATCATAATAATTAAATCAAGTCAACATTGCCAAAATGGAGTTTAGAAGTTGTTTGTTACTTTGTTTGCAGAGTCATGGCTTACCCTCACTTTCCCAACACGCAAATGGTGGTCAAGGTTAATCCCATTTTGAAGACTTGGTGGAAAGATATTCAAAAAAATTGAGAGTTAGAAGCAAATGAATTGTTAGGCGGCCTCACTGCTTTGATCTCCGTAGAGTCAGATCGTCACTTAATCAAGGCATTGTTGAAATTCTGGGACACTGAGAGGTTAGTCTTCAAGTTCAGGGATTTTGAGCTAACCCCAACAATAGAAGAAGTTGGAGGATTCATGGGTCTCGCATACAAAGAGTTGGAAATGATTGTTCCACACAAGACAAGTCCAAGATCTTTTCTGAAGCAAATGGGCGTGTGTCATAATCCAAATCTACTTTGTCTGAAAGAAGGTTGGATTTCTTTAGAGTTCTTATATTCACGCTTTGGGGATGAGGAAGGTCATCAAAACTTTCATAGAGAATTTGCTTGCTCTTCTGCAAAATGGGAAAGGTATCGTCTTAATGCATTCGCTGTCGCCCTATTAGGCTCATTGGTTTTTCCTAGAGAAGGAGGAAAGATCCACACCAGCTTATGTTATGTGGTTCGTATGTTGGCTCGAGGTGGGAAAACCTTGGTCCCCATGATACTTGCAGAAATTCTAAGGGCTTTGACTGCATGCACCAAAGGCAAAAGATACTTTGAGAGGTGCAACTTTCTGCTGCAACTTTGGGCCGTCGAACATTTCTACCAAAGAGCTAATAAAGTAGACATTGTTAGAGGGACTATGGGGAACAAAATTATCAACCATCCCCTAAGGATGAAACATTTTATCTCCCCTGTGGGGACAGAAGACTGGTTCACATACCTAAAGGAGCGCTCAGCCGTTGAAATCCAACGGAAGTATTATTGGTTGAAGCCACGACGTGCCATCATAAGAGGAAATGAACTTTACTTCATTGAGCTTATCGGTTTGAATGGTGTGCAACCATACGCACCACTTCGAGTCCTTCGACAATTCGGACAAATCCAAATGATACCTCTGCGATCCCACATGAGCCACTATGGATATGACTTTGGGTCAGAATTACCGTAAGTGAACACCATACTGCGAAGATGGAAGAATGTGATAACTATCGATGTTCAAGAGCACCGACCCTTCTGCACACCTGAATATTATGTATGGCTTTTAGAAGATGCAGAGCATAGAGATCTGAGTGAAGGAGGTCTTCCTGGTTTTGGCGATGAAAAAGAGAGAAGATGGGCTCGCAACCTCCTCAACACTGATTATGACATTACCCCAGAAATGAAGAAGCAGATTGTGCCTAACATTGGAGAGCAACATGATTAAAGTTTTTATTATTTATTTCTCTTTACTCCCCATATGTTATCCCTAGCCCTTTAGTTATCTTTAGATTGATGTAATAAACAGAAATTATTTTAATAATCGAAAGTTGTTCTATTATCTAACTCTAAACTCCAAATTGGCAAATAAGGCTTGAATTAATTATTATGCATCACTTATGTGTCGCTTAGGCCTACCTCTGGCTCAACGAGGTTCCTTGCATTTAGGGCGTTTATTTCAAAACAACGTGTTGATATTGTGATATTATCTTAACCCCCTAACTCTTTTCTTTTGATTCTATTGTTTTCCCATTTCCTAAGGTTGATCTGTCCTTCATCCTGGCACATACACGATCAAAAGGGACTCCCTCTTCTCCTTCTTCTCAAAGAGCAAGCTCAAAAGACAAAGAAAAAATGGTTGACAACAACAGCACCACTGAAAGGGTAGAAGCTTCTGAGGGAGGACAACTTCAAAGTAATCTTATCCTAAGACTCGAGCGCAAGATTTCGCAATTGGAAGAAGAGGTAGCCAGCATGCGTGATTTGGCCAAGTTGTCTATATCTCTTGGAACCCAATTTGGGGAAAACATAGACAATCCTCCTAATCAAACAGCCACGCCAGACAATCCTCCAATCCATATATCCCCACCTGAACCCACTCGTCCAAATGTCTTTCCACAACCCCACACCCAAAATACCCAATTTCCATTTCACCACTATTACAAACATACCAAACCAACTGTCCCAGAAACAACCCCAAACACAAATATCCCATATACTTTTGGGAACAACAATCCCAATCCCATATACGTTGAAACTGCCCCTCTGACTTATGACCTCCATGAATCAGAGTCCCATCAGAAAGACATCCTAATAAAAACCTGACTGAGAGATTAGACAACTTGACCAATAGGATACAACACGTGGAAGGAAACAAAAAGTTGGGAGGATTGGGCTATGAGGATCTGTGCATGCATCCTGATGTGGAACTGCCCGAAGGATACAAGCTTCCGAAGTTTGAGACGTTCAATGGCATTGGGGATCCCAAAGCCCACCTACGAATGTATTGTGACAAACTTGTAGGGGTGGGGAGATGAAGTTGTTCATGAGAAGCCTTACTGGGGAGGCCCTGTCATGGTACATTGAGCAAGACTCGCGGAAATGGATAAATTGGGTTGATATGGCAACTGACTTCAGAGAATATGCCATAAGATGGAGATCTGAGGCGGCTAGGGCCAGACCCCCTATGGAAGAATCTCAAATGAAAGACTATTTCATCCGTGCCCAAGAACCACAATACTATGACTGAATGATGCTGGTGGCTGAAAAGAGTTTCGCTGAAATCATCAAACTAGGCGAAAGAATTGAAGAAGGCATAAAGAATGGGACTATCATCAACTTGGAGGCTTTACAAGCAACCAACAAGGCTCTACAATCTGGTGGAATGACAGAGAGTCGAAAGAAAACAGGTTCTGTAAT